GCCAGGGGCACCCAGGGGAGCCCTTAGCACGCTCCCCAGCAGACCTGGAAGTGGACCAGGAGTACTTCCGGGTTTGCCACTGAGCATGTGGAGGGCCCCCACCCACTTCTGTGGGACACTCCATTGGCCCCAGCATTGCAGCGTTCATGAGCCGCGCTGGTACCTCAAGGTATGTAGAAAAAACTTTTAAAGCTGTGTCTATGTCTGAATCACTAATTCTCCAAATAAGCATTGAATCTTCACATTCAGATTCAGCCAAATCAAATCAGGGACAGTGATCCGAATCAACAAATTGAATCCAGTTCTTCTCCAGGCCAGTGGCAGAGCCAAGAATCGAATCCAGTTCTCCTGAGTTCCAGTCAGGGACTCTACACACAAGGCCACATTACTCTAAAAGACAGCAAACTATAGGCACAAAAATTGTAAGAAAACTTCAGAAACTAATATGTTGGGGTTTTGCTCATTTAATTCTTTCATGTTTTTAAAGCAGGGGTGTCAAACTCATCTGGCTTTGCAGCAGTTGAGTGGCCCAGGACCAATCCATGGGCAAGATGAACAGCACAGGGCCAGTCCCACAGGTTGGATCAGGCCCAGGGGCCACCCACTGTGTTCTGGATCCATTGCCCACAGCATTTGGTTTGGCTGCTCTGGGATTACACCACATGTAGAACTTGCTCTGACTGGATTGGGATGTGAGTGGCACAAAGCTTCTGCTCCAGGCAATCAAGGGTGAATACAGGGTACAGTGTGGGCCCTGGACCAGCTGGAATGGGCTCTGTATACAGCGCAGTCCTGGACCAGCCAAAGTGGGCATCAGATTTGGCATGTGGGGGACCCACAAAGCCCTCTTTCTCCTTCAGCTTCCACTTGCTGGATCCCACACCTGCTCTAGCTGGTCTGGGACTACACCACACACATGGTGCTCTCTCCATGACCTATACTGCATGCAGTGTCTGACCCAGAGCAGCTGGAGCAGGCACCACATGCAGGCCATCTTGGACAAGCCAGAACAGCCATGGCTGCTGTGGAAGGGTCCTGAATTGTCTCTAGGAGGGGCCAACACTAGGGGCTGGATGATGTGGCTCTGTGAGCTAGATCTCTGACACCAGGGCTTTAAGGAAACACATAACACAAGGTACAGGGAAAGTGCATTTGTGTGGCCTCTGATGTGCTACCTTGAAAGGAATGACTCAGCCTTTCACAAGGTGAGGCCCACCTGGGACGAAGTGGTAAACCATGCCTTGAGAGGTGACACAACTCAAGTGGTATTAGTAAAGATAAATGTGATGAACAGGTGTGGAAGGTTTTTAAACAGTCAAAACCTGCTAAACTTGATCTTGATAATTTGCTTACAGTTTGCCAACCATTTGTGCCTGAGTCAATCAGTGGCCTTCATCTGCCATCTGAGAAGGTTAGAACTCACAGGGTGTGTGGCAGAAAGCCACCTTGGTTTCTCCCCAAAAATCTCTGCCCTGTGACACTGTGATTTAAATCTCTGTGCTGTGACCATTCAGTTAGGGTGGGCCCAGCACACAGGGGACCACACCCTCAGCCTGTCTCTTTAGGGAACTGGAGCTGGCTGCATTCCTGAGGGAGGGGGAAACCTGCTCCCTCTGCTTACGTGACTTGCATCACTTACCTGGGTAAGGGGTTTCTACCTGGGGAGCTGGAATCTGCCCGGTAACAGGTGATGCATTTCAGATTGGTTGGCTGACAGCCAACTGGGGCTGACCTCCGCTGGCCCAGGTGAATGAGGTCACAGGGGCTATATAAGTTAGGACGGGGAAGGAGGCGGTCTCTCCTCTCCGGCCATGAGGTGACGCAGCAGCCAGGCAGGGGACAGAGAAGCCTTAACATCTGAAACTGGCTCTCTCCCCCCAAACTCACGAGCTAGGAACCGCCTGCCTCCAAAGGGAAACTTCACCTGCCTTTGGAAGATGCTTGTGAGTAAGCTACTCAATCTGATTAGATATTTAGCTGGAAGTATCACAGATGTGTAATCAAAAGGCTACCACAGCCAGACTGTTTGCTCTTTAGGATTTCTAGATATTGCTCTATCCTGTACCCTAGTTTACCCTACCCCCTGTAATCAATAAAGTTCTCCTTTTTGACTGGTGTGGGAGACTTATTGAGGGGTGGGTCTAAATTATGCCTAAGAGACCCCTTAGGTCTGTGGACTAAGGGAGACTATACCTTTTTGCCCCCGGACTTGGGGAAGTACCCCAAGTGCCTGTACTGGGTCAAGTACCCGTGGGACTTTAGGCCTGTGTTACCCCAAGGACACAGGGCCGCGAGACAGTCCATTCTTGGGGTGGTGGCGGCACGTTACCCCCAGACTAGCGAGTGTGCTCCGGGAGAGGGGTCGGCCGGACATAAGGCGCCCCTAGGGAGGCATTCGGAGCCTGGAAGGTGGTCGGCCGCAGGGAGGTGGGCGGCTCAACGCAGGAGCACCCCCTACTGGCCCGCCTCACGTGGTGGAAGCAGCGGAGGGATACAAATACCCAGCTGTGTTCCTGAGGTGGGATCTCTGCACCGGCCACAGGGTGAGTCTACATGAGATGCTTTAAGGTGCATTAGTCTAAATTTAAGGTGCATTAGGGTGTGCATTTACATGTGTGTGTCCTTCATATGCTTTAAAAATGGAGAATTTATGCCTAAATGCAGGTATCAAATTTAGGTGCAAATAGTTAAAGTGCATTAATGAATGTGTAGATGCGTTAAAGCGCGTTAACCTTTGTGTGTGGACTGACTTGGGACTAAATTTAGTCCCAAGTCAGCCCACACACAGCATTAATGCACTTTAATGCCTGCATGTGTAGATGCCTGCCTAAATCCGCTTAATATTCATTAAAGTTTAGGCATACTTAAATGCACATGTAGACATGCCCAGAGGTCTTGAATATTAAGTCCCAATTAACAGATAGATTTCCATGCACAATCATCATGCCATTTGTGAGCATTTAACTCTACTCCATATTTTCACTTTAAAACTAACACCAGTAAAATAAAAAAGAATACTGTATTCTATGTAAAAATATTAGTCAGTGGATTAGTTTTTTTCTGGATCCTGCAGTTTGCAGAGAGATCACCTTTGTTTGATCCACCATGTCGCATAGCATTACATCTTAAATCCCTTTTTAGAGTAATAATTGGACTTAGGTTGTACTACATGCAGTAAGATTGCACTGTAAATATAGAGTAACTACACTGGTGGAAATATTACTTTGTTTTACACTAGTATAAATGAGATCAGCATCAAGCCTTAGGGACATACCAATTGTGCAGAACTAAAGTTCTCCCTGTGTCAACAATAGGCAGACACAGCTTCACAAGTGCATGGTATGGCTGATACATGTGGGGACCATCTGTAGATCATTTATTTGCTTTGTTCCTCCCACAATATCTCAACTGTTCTCAATAATATTATATGTTTTCACAACAATTTCCATATCAGGTTCTGTGCTCACTTTCTCATTTATTTTCATCTTTCATTTTAGTTTATGGTACTTCATCGTTCCACTGCATTGCATATATCTTCTGAAGGGGTGTTTACTCCAAAGGTGTTGAGTATCAATAACTACATGTGTACCAATCACAAATGCTCATATACATTTACAGCTACTGGTAACATCAAACCCTATGAACCAGTTTTAGGAATTAGGGAACCTACTGTGCAATGGAAGTCTGTCCTGACAGTGCTAGGAATACCATAGGGTCAGTCTGGAGCATAGTAGTTATCTCAGCACAAAGCTCATACAGAAAATGAGATCTTGAGAGGTTCTGGGCACCACCAGGTTCCAATGAAACTTGCATGAGTGGTGAGGTCTTGGCATCACTCTGGGTGTAACCCATCATAGTCTAAATATGTTAATGCGAAATCTTAAGGAAACCATATTAAACATCTTAAAGATATACTCTGTTATTAAGAATATCTGTATGCAAAGTGATGTGAATCTTGGGGTATTTGCAGACATGACACTTAGATTGACCTAACTCAGTGGAGTTAGGCTGGGGAGTTTAGACTGGGCAAAAATGGCTGGCCTGATCTAACTCAGTTCACCTAAGGAAGTGTACTATGTAGATTGGGCTAACCTGTGCCTGATCTAATTGAAAGTGTGTACACATTTGAAGCCCCAGGGTTGTGCTTTTCCTAACTCTTTAACCTTTCCAGGCTATTTTTAACCCTCCAATGCCCCCAGTCCCAGACGGACAAGCTCCTTCACTGTGGACCTATGAGACCCAATGGCCTCCCCTAATACTGTTCACTCTGTATCCCACCCCAACTTACTTAGATCATGTTCCCACATTTCCAGTGGCTCCTCATACCAGTGAACATGTGCACAAGTGGGGACCTGATCTATGATTTTTCAGCTTAAAGCAAGCCACATGATTGAACACATATACATGCCCTGGGTTTATTGACCTTGCCTTCTCTTTGGATTAAATCAATCATTTCCTTGCTCAGAGACACCCTTCTGTTCACACCATGGCTTGCTTGCTTACTTTCTTCATTTTTCACCAGAATCTGCACTATTAAGCAGGGTACCATACCAGAACTCCCCGTCATCCAGTGAGGTCTGACATAAGCGTTCCCTCTCAGATGGGCTGACCAAACGCCACTCAGAAGAACTACAAGAAAAGAAAAATCAAACTTTACAAGGCTACATGGCATTTCCTGTTCCCTCATTCAGAAACACCAGCTGGACCTTTTAGCAGATGATAACTATTTCAGATTGGTTGTATTTGAACAGTAGGCACAGCAGATACCTCTGAGGGTCCTTGCTTGCTCCTGCTTTCACTCAAGCCATTGGAAAAACTTAGATGGTGGCAGGATCAGTCCTGATATCTCTAGGTGGCTGCATACTGTATTAACCAGTACTTCTGTGTTTGCAATAGTGCTCAACCTGAGGACAGAATATACTGCAGAAACCAAGGTCCATTTAAGTACTATGATCCAAGCTCTAGATAAGCCTCAAGGTTTTAGTAACCTGCGGTGCTGTAAACCTTAATTTTATACCTGTATCATTGTTGCCAGTGGACGTAGCTACATGAGATGCTTAATGCCCATTGGACTAATTCTATTGCACATTAATGTGGCCAGCAAAAATCATGATAATGCGCAGTAGATTAGACCAATGGGAATTAGGCATCACACAAAAAGCATTCAGTTATTACAGGTACTAAATAATGTGCCATAATTTTGGCACATTAATGAATGTGTAGACACATCTAGTAATTTAGAGTCAGATATATTCAAATAACTGAAGTTCTATTTTTAATTAGATTTCTCATTTTCATTCACCTCTGCTGTTCCTTGTATTATAAATTCATAGATTCATAGATGCTAGGGCTGGAAGGGACCTCAGAAGATCATCGAGTCCAGCCCCCTGCCCCAGGGGCAGGAAATCAGCGGGGATCATAAGATCCCAGCAAGATAAATATCCAAATGTCTCTTGAAGGTGTTCAATGTAGGTGCTTGAACCATCTCTGTCTATTCCAAACCTTGGGGGCTCAGACTGTAAAGAAGTTCTTCCTTATGTCCAGCCTGAAACAGTCACGAAGGAGTTTGTGACCATTTGACCTTGTCATCCCTTGGGGTGTTCTGATGAACAGGTGTTCCCCCAGATCCTGGTGAGCACCCCTGATAAACTTATAGGTGGCCACCAGATCACCCCTGAGCCTGTGCTTTTCCAGGCTGAAGAGTCCCATGGCTCTCAGTCTTTCATCATAAGGTCTGACCTCTGATCATGCACGTGGGTCTCCTCTGCACTCTTTCAAGCTCATTCACATGGCTCTCCTCTGCACCCTCTCAAGCAAAGGTATTAGGTATTAGGAGGGATAGAAACAGAAAGACCTTGGTACTTCCTACAGAACTGCTGTTGTAGTAGTGTATTTCTAGTCTGATTCTAAGCATGGAGTGGCAGAAGTCTCGCAGGAGATTTCTAACCCAAGCCTTTACCCTGCAAGTGGGTATAGTCATGAAGATTCCTGCTTCTACTTAGAGCTCTGTTGGCTTCTATGGGACTGTGTACTGGCACTGTGGCATGTAGTAGCATTTCTGTGCACACAATCAGAGCTCTATTTGGCAGAGACGGGACTTTGAATAAACATTTCAATAAGCTAGATGGTTGTCCTGATCCTAATTCCTAAATATGCAAAGGTCAGTAATTATAGCAATCAATTATTCTCAAATCTGGGGAGGATTTAGCAAAAGATCATACATATTTGGGATTCATTTTGGGATAGTTTTGAAACAGTGCTTGATTCTGATTAAGTTTCACTGGGTACATGTACACACGCAACTAATTCAACATGATAAACTGTGGAGCTGTTTGAGCCAGAGTCAGCTGCTCCCAGGTGCAGCACTTACATGTGCACCTGGACAGCAGCAATTTGAGCCCGGGTGGAGCAGCCTGGACTGGCAGGGGGCGCAGGGGTTCACTTGCAGGCTCCAAGTGGTGGCATCGGGAGGTGGAGGGGCTGGCTGGGGCATTAGAGTGCTGAAAGTGCAGAACTGTGCGGCTAGGCAGCAGGCAGCTCCTGCACTTTAGCACTTTCATGCCTCAGACAGCCCCTGTCACTGTCTACACATGCGTTTAAGCACATGTAATGACTCTGCCATAAGATAATACTGTCCCTGCCAGTACTATCTTGTGGCGGAGTTAATTAATTGACTGCACCCTAATACCAGTGCATGTGTAGACTGTAATACTTTACTGCAGAGCTAGTTAGTCAGATTTGCAGTAAACCACATGTAGATGAACCCACCATTATTAAACAGATTGTCGGGAGAGAATCAGATTAAATTATAGAATTGAGTCTCCGCTTATTTACCCTAGTGTAAAACAAGGAAAATCTCAGTTGATGACATTGGAGGTAAGGTGATGGAAGGGAGAAAAGAGACAGGCCATGTATACATACAAATTAAATTAAGTTTATATATATATAAACTTTATAAAACTTAATTTATTTAAACCATCTATGGAGTTTCCTTCTAAAATGGTAATAATTTGTATTTTGCCTATTGTGGATATTAAAAGCAGTTTAGGAATTTTCACTGTTGGGACCTACTGAGTCTTTTGGTGTTTGCACAACAAACATAATATTAAGGAACCACATGGGCACAGAGGGGACCCAATAACTACTTTTAACAGTTAAATGCAGCTTGGCTCCTTGCCTGGGCCTAGTTACTGTGTACAATGCAGCTCTAGTAGCATTAGAAACAGAACACAATGAATGTCAGTAGAGGGATGCTACATAGTGAGAGTCTGCTCAGTCTTTACACATGGCAGGGTCATTCAGCAGCCCAACATTTGGATAGTTATGCTGAAAAAGCTGCAAAGGGAATGTTAAAATATAAAAATATGCATTTTCCATTGGAATTATCCTCAAAATTCATGACCACACTTATATTAATATAATATATGATATTTACTTGTATTTCATGCATGTCTTTTCCCCAGAAATTAGGCCCCCCCAAATTAGAGTGCATGTCTTAACTGGGGAAGCTGATTTTCTGCCTGGAATGGAAGCACCCTGTTTTGATTCCTGCTCCCGCATTGATTCCTGGTCAAGGCAGCAGTGGTATTTCTACTTAGGCAACTGAGAGACTCAGCTGACTTAATGGCTCAAAGGTGTTAACAATCATCTCTCCTTTTTAATGTTTTAATGTGCCACTAATCAAGCTAACCTTTCTTCTAGCAGTTATGCTGTCTATTAGCAACTCCTAGTCTTTCTTCTCCTATTTCACAGCCTTGCAGGATATGTTTAGCTCTTTTCAAAATTGTAGGTTCACCCATGGAGACCAGTCTTCAGTAGCAGGTAGAGGTTCAACTTTTGGTTAAGCAGGAATGGGAGGGAGGGTGTGCTGAAGAGCAGGCTCTATCCCTGCTCTATGTAGCCGTAACTTTTTTTCTTCATTCTGTCTTCCCAAAAACATGCTTGTCTTATTTGGAGGCACGTGATATGCAATAACATATGCTATATAGTAATATATAATATGTAAGACAAGTTTCTATAAGTAACATCATATGCATATATAACATTTTTATCAAAACCCTAATTTTGGGACTAAACCTTGGCAATGTCCCTTTAAATGGGATCCAAGCAGCCTAGAAAATACTGAGGTGTAGTTGTGATTAAAGCAATAGTTTTTTATTGCTTGTGCAGACTCTTAATTTAAATGTTTAAGTAACACTATGAGCTAAAGATAAATGCAGAGCACTATATACATAACATTAACTTAGCCCTTCTTTGTTAACCCAGATTCTTTGCAACATAAGTGCTAGTGACAGAAACACTGACTTGTCACTCCAAGGGCCATTCCACTCCACTTGCCCCCATGGGTTTCTTATTCTTATGAGGTCCACCTTCCGGCCCCGATAGCTCACCTAGAAAAAAAGGAAATATTGAACGGCCTGAAACTATGAGCCTATGGATAGTGCAACAAACCTTGGCTGCTCACTGCCATTAATCAATTTTCTCCACTTTACAGGCTGTGTAACTCAGCTGGACACCAGGGAACTGTACCAGGGAAAGTGTATGGGAGGGCAAAATGGGGAGAAGGGAGTGGAAGTATCCTCCCACCATGGAACAAAGCTGCAGTTAGAGCTAAGTTAGGATGCTAGTTAAGGATCCCTGCTCCACAAGGGAGACAGGCCAAAGGATACATATAACAGGATCCCTGCCTCCCACCACCCTATGCCCCTTTTGGCACAAGAAGCTGGATGGTTGTACAGGGATGCACTCTGTGCCAAAACCCTGTCCCCTCCTTGTGTGGCCACACCAATTCTGCAGCCAAATGGCATACATGTGACACACAGAGGGCAGTCTGTCCAGTAGTTTCTGACTTTTCTTCAGGTGACCTCATTCCTGAGCTTGTGACCCCACTTCTAATTATAAGCCTCACTTCTGCAACTGAATGTCTAATAGGCTCATGACTCTAAGACCCCCAGCTCAGAAACCACTGATTTATGACTTACTACCCTTAAGCTGTGGGTTTCCACCATTTGTCTTACATGAGATTTGCCATTATTCATTTCCATCCCATATTCCACCATACACAGTTGATGCAGAATAAATGGGACATACCTCATCAATGCCAGTTACTGAATATGCATGACCTTTTATAAGGCCGAAAGGGGTTCGAGCTTCTGACTCAGCAGTGCTGCTAGTCTGAAATATGAAAACAGACTTAAGTGACTTTCCTTGAAATGAAGTTGTAATGGATTACCAATTTTGCTGCTGCCATACCTAGAGGCCCTGATAAGTCATAGCTATACTAACAGGTATAGCAAATGATTACATATGACATTGTCTTATAGGGAAGTCCTTTCCTCCACAAGAAAGTTTCATTCTAATACTTTTTCTAAGGACTGGAACTAGAACTGGATGATATTCTTGGGGCAAAAACGTCACAAAAAATATGAGGTTTTGGTTGTTGCCCAAGTATTTGTAAATTTACACCCAGGTGTATTGAAAAGCTATGGCTGGAAAAAAATTGAAGTGTGGAAGAGACAACTTCTTCCCCAGCTTTCTCAATAGTCCAGCAATTAGTGGACTCATGCAGGATATGACAGACTCAGGTTCAGTTCCCTTTTTTGCCTGAGTGGATTTGAATCCAAATCTTCTGAGAAAGCATCCTAGCCAACTTTTGGTTGGGTGCTCTCAGTTTCTGATTGACACTGTTCTACTTTGTCCATTTGCCCTCAAACATTTACTGGATAAGGGTCTGGAGCCCAGATGAATGGCCTAACTGCCATGAAAAGGAATCATTTTCTCTCCCTGGCTCAAGTCAAACACCTACCACGGGAGAGATGGTGAAAGCCCCTTCCCAGGATCAACTCTATTCCAGTAATTAAGGTCCCTCTTGAAACCTGGGAGACGCTGCCTCAAATTTCTGCTTTGAATCAGGGAGAGAATGGTTTAAGTCTCCCATATCCGGATGAATGGCATAATGACTGAATTACTGGATAGAAAGGGAACCCCCAGGTAGTCCTCTCTGTTCTCAGACTTAGTGAATTTAGTTCTTCACTCCCTTTACTTTTATTATGGGTGCCTGAAAGCAAAAACATCATGGACAATGAACCATTTCCTTTGCTCTCAAACCACCATTTTTCAGCTTCTGTATTTTGTTAAGAAACCTGCTAAACAGTTTTGTCAAGTTAATCCAAATCACTTTGTTTTTGGTTTTAAGTCTGGATGTTAAACCAATAAAATCAACTCATTGCACAGCCCTCAGCAAAATCATCCCAGAACTTTCCCTTTGGACACGCTGGGGACTTACTGAGACTTCTGAGTGAGCTATCTTCTCCCATCCCTAGAAATGGGTCCACTTGGCAGAGACCAAACACATCAGCAGATCATTGCCTTACACAGCTGCTGCCCATACACTCCAGTAGAGCACTACAGGCTTCAGAGTTGTAAATCTGGTATCTTTCATGAGCAGGAAAATTCATTTATGAACTAACTTGCAAAGCCTCCTAAGCCCCCAGAGGGGTCACTAGAGGGTTGCAGCCTAAAATACCTTAGTAGTGACCACTGAGGCCAGTAGTTACTGGCCCCCTTCCATGTGACAGGGCTGTGAATAGCTTTAACCCAAACCCAGGTCAGGAGAATGGGGCAGGAAATACAGTTCACACACAAACTGGACATCCCAAGTTGATGTTTGATGACTTTCTTCCTCTGATCAGCTGGTCTAATGACCAAAAGGGTTTTACCCATATATTAGATTACAGCTACTCTTTATAAAGTTGTGTCCTTTTTATTTGCCATCCATTTCATCCGTGTTTCTTTAAAACATTTTTACTTTGAAACAAAAATCACAGATACATAAAATGAAACTAAACTCAGATCGACTCCAGCTTCTTACTTACATCAATGGAACAGCCCACCATGGAACCTTTCTTAAGTGCTTTCTCTAAAATGTCATGGAAATTGTCAGGGGCTTTTCTAACTTCATACATTTCTCCAACTCCTCCAGTGAAATCTTCCATGGCTTCTATTGCACTGCCTCCTTTCAGGGCTTCATAACTGCCATTCAGTCTGAAAAAATACACCTTAACTGTGAGACATGCTTTTAAACACTTTTTCATGATGTGCTGAGCCTGACTGGCTTCTGACTCATGTGGGCATAAATCAGCAGTAACACAAGTTAAATCAGTGCAATTGTTAATACTGGGGTCATTCGCCCCTTCCCCTAGACATTCTCGAACCACTGGTTCATTACTGGTACAGATCTGGACCAGGTTAGCAGGGACTATGCTGTCTTGACCCTACCATGGTTGATCACTGGTCTGGTGAATACTAAGCCATGCTAGTCACATTCCAGGTTTTATCCATAGCAGTCAGTATTATTAGCATTCCCAGCAGAGGAACAAAGAGCATGTTTTAGGACTCCATCCAGCTCCCATTGTAGCCAATTGGAGTCTTTCCATTAATTTACTGGAAGCTGGAGGTTAATTTCATACCTTCAGGTCAGAGCTAAGGCAAAAGGAAAAAACAAACAGAAGGGGGTATTTGAAAAGTGAGAACAGTGCCTGTACCACGTGACTCCTAGCACTTACTTGGCATAGGCCTTCTCCAGTAAAGCACTCCAAAATTCATTGTGTTCAGCTGAGTGCAGGAAAACCAAGCGGCCCTTGAAAGTCGGTAATCGATCATCGATAATGACATCCAGCCACTCATTGTGTTGCCAAAACTGTTTAGAAGGGACAGAGAGAGGATCATTGAATAATTTATAGTATTTGATAGGGCTAATGACGCTCTCTAGTTATTGCTCTAACAAGATTCTGAACTATCTCAGTAACTTTTGGGGGTGATTAACTAGATATGTCTATACTGCTTCTTCAGCACCTTCTTAAGGAAAGGGAGGCCTGGTGGAGGGCATCATCTACAGAGGGCAAGAGAAACAATGGCGGCATAGCCTCTGTTATAGGACTATAAACATGGCACTCTGTGAGCCAAATGAAATTCAACAAAAATAAGCAGCAAGTTTCTCTTCTCTCCCAAAACACCTTCAACTTCTCTTCTCAATAAAGTAAAAAGTAGGATTTTTTTTTACTAAATGTGACACATAGACACCTGGACTGATACAAGGTGACCTACCTTGAACTTCACTGCTTTTCTGGTAATGATACCTGGCTACTTCATCTAAACTGTAGTGTTATAAACAGTAGTAAATTATTTAAACAGCACTGAATTTAAATGAGAGGAAAATAGAGTAAATAGGAGGAGGGAGAGACCAGAGTAGCAGCCCCAGATGCCACTTTGGGGGACTGGAGGGTACAAAAAGAGCTGCAACCTCAGTAACAGCTGATTGCACTGCTCTGATCAACACTTCAGCAGCCAGCACTGCATTGGGCATAATGTGGCTGCCTTGGGTGTGGAGCTGCCTGGTTACATGCATATTATGAACCGAGGGCACCAGAATATGGAATAAGTAACAAGCCAAGTTCGTGGCAGAGAGGAATTTTCTGTCCACCATAATTTATCTCTGTATGAACAAATCCTATAGATTTCTACAGGGTTTAATGGAAAGTTATTCATTTTCCCTAAATTATTCTGAAAAGCTACAATATTAAGTATAGAACAACAGTATTCTTTCTATGGAATTTCTAACCCACAAAATTCTGTAATAGAGATTTATTGTATTCGATTTGTGCTCTAACACAATGCTTAGAACTGTGGTTTTTGAGCACTGAGTATTTATTTAAGTCTGTATGCTTGTTTAACAATTTTATACAAATTACCACTTTAATTCTATTACACTGTATTGGACAGTTTAGAAGGAATTGGAATCTGAACTAATCAGATACCCTGAGAGAGTTGTGTCTGTATTTTTTGATGTGAATTAGATATAGAGCATCATGTGGCTCAAATCATTTTAAACATATACACATATCCTGTTGAGTCAAATGATTCTCTTGATCACACCTAAGCATCCCTTCTGATTTCCTGCTAGTGGAGCTGAATACATGTAATTGAGAGTTGAATCTGACTGTGAATATTCAAATCTTCCTAGGATAATGCCTTGATTTCTGGCACTGTATTTCCCTTTAAAATAGGGAAACAGATGTGACTGCATGACTCTAACATTTTTACTGGTTTTCTTATCCAGATGGCACAGTACAGTGCATTTAGTAAGGACTGTTTAGAACATCTCAGTCACTCTCCTCAACTGTAAATTGAAAACCTGACTCCAAAACAGACTGGGACATTTAGCTTCCCAGGCCCTTGACAGGTTTGAATTTTGTGTTGTGTACTTATCTTACCTGAAAGTGAAATATTCCAGCATAACCAGGTCCAAAATTTTGATCCTGAGGTACAACTCTGGCTAAGGTTTTGTCATTCAGAGTAAGTGAAGCTATGGCTGCCAATAGCCAGCAGTCACCTGCAAAATGAAAAGAGCAAAGCATAGATCATCCATAATGTGTTGGGAAAATGCACAAAATATATAGGGCAGACATTCTGTAGCAGTCTTGTCATAGCCTCCATGAGTCTGTTCCCTGTTAAACTATTATGCTTGAAGTCAATGGAGTTTTTCTAGATTTATAAAATTGTAACTGAGATCAGAGTCTTGTCCTATTTGCATTATGTGATCCATATTTCATAAAGTATTCATTAAGAATTAACACGCGTTGATTCAAATTAATTTCATTAGCTTGTGATTTTCGTATTTCCCGTGGCATGTAAACTTCTCCAGAACCAATTAGGAACACAACTGTCAGCTGTTTCTCTCAATGGGCTAAGTTTTGCTTTTTTTTCCACTCAAGTTATTTGGATTTTAAATTATTTTAATTGGCTTTGGCCCATTATTCTAAAAGTTCACAAAAAGAAAGGTACTAAAGCTTCATTTGCTGGTTCTATGTTGGTTTCACATGAGACACTTGATAAGAGTTGCAGTTATGATTAGCAGTATGCTGCCTGGTTGTCTATCAATTAGGGGTACGTCAATAACCTACTTAACTTAAAAACTCAAGGAGAGGATGAGTTAGCTGGTACTAGCCAGGCAAGATGTAGTGCAGAACCACTCCATTTGCTGTTCTCTAGGAAGTTTTATAGAAGCTGAGCAAACTCTCGATCTCAGGAAATCCAGCGCAAAATTTCCCTTCACTTTAGCAGGACCAAAATTTGAGAACATCCTGTGTATTCCTTTTCCTCAGATAAAAATCAAGACCTTGGCTTTGTGGTAGTGATTCAGGGAGGGAAAATGGTAGTTCTGAAGAATGAATCAACCCCATTTCAAAAAGCCTGACACAGCTTCTATGTTGTTTGCACTGAGTGAACAGAGCAGTGAGTGCCTCTTACTTAAGTAAGTGAGTGTCCCTTACAAGACAGCTACTACACTGTACGATTCCTATAAGCTATTTTGTCAGAGACTGATGGGATGCCACATGACCTCCAGAATTCCTCTGATGGAAAGTCTTACACAATCTGAATAGAATTAAACAAATAACTTTCTATGGAAATGTAACAGGGCTGCGCAGAAATTACTCTAAAGCCCTACAGAATACAATAGAAAATTATCTTTCTTAAGGATTTTAGGTCCATCCTATAGTGTTGTACAAGGACACACCCCTTTTCACTTCTGTAGGATTAGGGTTGAGGTCCTTTTGAACTATAATTCCATTCAATTCCAGGCACCCACTGTCTGGAGCAAAGTGATTTAGACGATAACGGCATTATGGAAGCTAGTCCTGTAAATACCACGTGCCTGTGCAAATAACCTTTGTCTTCCTTCAGACATCCTCTTTCTACCATGGTAACCGCCTTCCAGAGACTTTGTCCTCTTCTACTACAGTCTGTAAGCATGTGGTCCTCCAAGACAGTGTAGCTATGCTGTGACAGTGTAGCATGTCATATTAGCATGCTAATCAATACATTAAAACACATGTTGGGAACTGTAAGCAGGTTTGTGTGCCAGCTGCCTTGCAGGCTGGCTTTGCTCCCCCTGGGAGCTCCTTAGCCAATCCTCTAAATACAAACAGCCCTTGGACCAACAAGCAAACCAACAAACAAACCTTTCAATCCCTTTTCCAGGTGGTAAGAGGGTCCCTTAGTTTAGCCCTTTAGCATGGCCCTTTCTGGTAGCAACCTTATCTTGGGTCTATTTTGCCTCTTGCCTGCAAAGTGATGCATTCCCTTGCTCACTACTCTCTGCTGTCACTCCTCAGGGTTTTTAACTTCTGGTGGGATACTCCCTCACCAGCTAACTACTCACAGCTGGGCTCCCACAATAGGGCTAGCTGCTTCCTCTTAAAGGGCCAGACCTTCCTATTACAGGACGCAAATACCATGTATGTCTGGGTAACCCCTTGACATGGTGTTTGCCCCATATTGTCAAGAGATACAATAAATGTAGCCAAGAATCCAAACTCCTGCAAAATACTATGTGCTTACAGGGCACAGAGCAGATCTGACCTGAGGAACCTAGGGATCCCATACATTTCCAAAGGGGTAGCAACAGGGTGTTCTCACTTTGCCCTACCCAGAAGTTCCAAAGCTTAATCATGTGATGACTTCACTTAATATGGATGATTTCCCTTGAGCCTATACATACACTGTTCATGTGCCCTGCCCCATGTTTATTGCAGGACTTAACACACCCCAGTTCCTCCATGGTAACTTTTTCTGCCTGCTCTTACCCCACAGTGGCTGCAGCTACATGAGATGCCGACTGTAGAGTAGCTTGTTACTAGTGTGCAGTAGCGCCGTGTGGCATGAAGTGTGACGTGATGCTGTTCAGCAGTGGTAATGAGCTACTGCGCAATCAGCGTCACCTAAAAGCCATTCAGCGATGCAGTCATTTAGTACTCATGTATGTAAGTACTAAATGACTGTGCAGTAACAACCGCACAGTCATTGTCTCGTGTAAACGCGGCCAATGAGAATTAAACTAGGATGGTTAACCCATGAATTAAACAGGGTTAAACTGACCTGTTTTAGTTTTCACTTACATTGGGGTAATTGGAGAGAGAGGGACAGCTGCTGTTGAGGTGCGAAAGTGTGCTAAACCCCACTCCCTATTAATTGCAATGTAATTAGGAGACAATGAGGGGCTCCTGCTGTTACCTGCAACCTTACTCAGAGTTGTACACCCTAATTTGAAAGCCATTATCTTAGCCTATTCAAGTTCCTCTTTAATTTGAAGGAAAGAATGTGATACCTTTATCCAGGCAACTAGAAATGGGTCTGAAGTTAGAATGAAAGCATGTGTATTACTACTAGTTTCACTGGTTCCATTAACTCAGGAAAGAAGGGGCAAACCACAGAGCTGTAAAAGGACAGCTTTGCCCTCTAGGCAGCAGTGGCACCCAGTGCAGTGCTACCTGCTGTGCTGCTGGTAGTTATTCTTGAGCCTCCTCCCCACCTCAAAGGCAATAATTGAGGGTGCTGCTTGAGTGGCACCCCTCAGAGACATTATTTCACAAGTCCTAGTCCTCCCCGCCAGAGACTAGGATGTTTCGGCATCACAGATCTTAGTGTAGGGGTGAAAGATAAACACTCACCAAGATCCCCTTGACAAATGTCAGTTCTTGTAGCTCCTCCAGTTATAAACTGTGGGTCATTAACAATGTCCTGGGAGAGTAAAAGAATGAGTGAAATAATTTAACAGATGCCTGCAAAAACATTGCAACATTTAGGTACTGGACCTGTCACACGGTGTGTAAAGTACATCACCGTATACCTTGGGAACCCGACAACCACAGGAAAGTACAGCTACTATGAAGTGCTATGTTGAACCATTAGAGTGTATCAGTAGCGATAGGATCATTTGTCTTAATTTTTCCAATTACTTTGGTATTTATCAAAGATATTTGGCTGGCAGTCTTGATGGATGAAATTCTTTGCTTACCTGAGGAGCATGCCTATCACAGACAGTGGCCAGCAGCCATGAACACATCTTCTTTGGAAAAAAACAAAAGGCTGATCCCAGCCTTTGTTTGTTGTACTGAGCAATGTTAGTTTTAACTGGGAGTAGCAGCAGGTATGCTACTCCACACCCTTGTGGGCTCAAAGGTTAAGAAGCACTGAGAATATATGGCCATTGTAGAATGAAGACAGTTTGGACAAGTATTTCTCAGATTGTTTTATATTCAATTGACATATCGCAGATGTTCTTTGCTATACAAGAAACTGTCTGTAACCCAATGAATTTGCCAGGGATTTTTCCCCCTTGAACATAAATTGCCATTTAAAAGAGTACATTGATTCTTTTGCTGATATTTGTCTATGGAATTTATCTCTTTCTGAATGGAATTATGATGGACATCTACTGGCTCATTGATCTTGAAACCTGGGTAGAAATGTTAGGTATTTTCATGACCACTCAGAATATCAGAGTGCTCCATAATCTTGGAGGTATTGATCCTGCTGCAGGGAAGTGCAAGTACCTCCATTTTTCAGATGGGGAAACTGAGGCACAAAAGGACTTGCCCAAGATCAAGCAGTGAGTTTCTGGTGGAACCTGGATTTGAATCTGTATTTCCAGACCCCCAGGCTAGTCATCTAATCACTGGACCACCCTTCTTCACTTACCAAGTCTTTGGCACACCTAAGACATAGCTCTGCAGTTTCAGCTTTGCACTAGAAGATAGGTAGCCCTGTATCCTGGTCCTTGCTCCTACCAGGAATGAAGAGAAATGCAAGTAGAACCAACCAGTATTTGTTCAGGATCACCAGAAGCAATTGCCACAGGAGGAACTGTCTGTAACTGGCTTTCTCAAAGGCTATGTAGAAGCTGTTAAAATCAAATGTAACAGAGAAAAGGCCTATTTCAAAGCTCATTGAAACTAAAGGAAAGATTATAATGAGTAAGTCCATTCAACGCAAGGCCAGAAACAAAAAGCAGGACACTTGCATTAGCATGGCACAGTGCCTAGCCTAATTAGCTCTGCAAAGAAGAGAGAAGCAGAGCTTATTAGCCTGGGCATAGGAGGAATATACACTAATGCAGCTATCCTGCTTCCAGTCCAAGAACTATCTTAGAATATCTCTGTGCAGTGCTGCCTTGTGCCATAATGACATGCCCTCATTGACTCCCGTGGGCTTCAGATAAAGAAATAAAACCAAGAAATTATTCCCTCATAGACTTCATGATCCATCCCTGCTTTTGTTTTAATTCAGAAAGTCATCCTGCCTTGCATGATAACACAGGAGGTGCTTCATGTAATCAGAAGGACACCTTGCTGGTACTGTCTTGATATAGCCAAGGCATCAGTCAAGGCATCAGTCAAGTTATGCAACCCTATAGAAATCACAACACATAAACCTAGATAGGCTGTCATTATCACTGACAAATAAATAAGTAAGGGGTCTGCTTTCTCTTGCATTAGGGTAACTTGCTATGCCAGAAAAGTCTAACTAAATTGAATTGAATTGAAATGAATTGAATAAACTAGGAAAGGCTGCCTCCTCTGCTATATTGAAGGGATGCATATGCATTTAATCAGTCAGCCCTTAAATCCCATTGCAGAGCTGGTTGTATAATTTGGTCCAAACTAATCCAGTTAAGACTAAGAGAAAAAAACCTCTTACCAGTGCATTTGCAAAAGGCAGAAATTAAATACGGGTAAAATAATAGAAGATTCAGTTTCAGTATCTCAACCCCTTCGGTTGTGTGGATAGAAAATAGGTGGCTTTTGATGTATTTATTTTATTTAAAGACAATAAGAATATTGTACTCTCAGAGAGCTTCTAATTCCTTTTCTAGCTAAACAAAGTTAGTCGAAGTCCAAGTAGAACAATGGAACCTGGCAATATCAAAAAACAAGCTAAACAGCCTGACGGTTTTGAGTGTCAGAATATGCTGCAAAGAGACTGTTCTGCCAGCTTTTTCTGTATGTGTTAGGCTTCTCTAAGAAGGTGGAATGTATATTATTTGGGTGGAGAAGTTATTTTAATATGTTGAGGTAAGAAAAGTGACAAATTGCTGAATTTGCACATCATTATGTACATTCAGAGGCATCCTTAAGGGTGTGGGGGGGAGGGCATATCAGCCTGTGCGGGGCTGGGGGTGGCAACCGCCTGCAGAAGCCTGCAGCAGTGTCAGTGGCAGGGGGTGGGGGGGAACACACGGGAGGTAGCAACTTCCCGCAGAAGCCGGGGGAAGGGGACCGGCAACCACCCACAGAAGCTGCCAGCACTGGCAGGGCCACAGTGCGGCCTGTGCACCACCGTCCATGGGGCCCAGGGTGGTTGCCCCAATTGGCCCTCTCCCCAGGGATGGCCCTGTGTACCTTTTTTGTGACAAGCAACCAGGACCTGGGAAAGGACCTTTTTCAAACAAAAATAATCCATACATTAACAGTAGTACATAAAAAAAACCCATATCCCTTAAATGAAAGCTCTAAAATAATTTAAAGCAATAACATGTTCTCAGGACTGGCAGATGACAAAACAAGGAGCAATGGTCTCAAGTTGCAGCAAGGGAAGTTTAGGTTAGATATTAGGAAAACCTTTTTCACAAGGAGTAAAGCACTGGAAAAGGCTACCCAGAGAGGCTGTAGGATATCCATCCTTAGAGGTTTTTAAGACCCAGGTAGACAAGACCTTGGTTGGGTGATCTGTTTGGGGATAGTCCAGCTTTGAGCAGGGGGTTGGACTAGATGACCTCCTTAGTTCCCTTCCTACCCTAATTTCCTATGATTTTATGTAAAAACTGACTCCAGACAGGATAAAGAATGAGCAAGATCCACTGAGCTGGTAAAAGAAATGTCAACAGAGGGTTTTTTTTGTTTTCTCATGCCTATTAAACTTGCTTGATAATAATCCTCCTATTTTAATAGACTGGATTTTGACAAAGCTGGTAACTAGCTCATAAAAAACCTTATAACTCGCCAATAGTTCCAACTATTTAGTTTAATAAATGAAAGATATCACATCTACCCAAAGAACCTTGTCTGCTCATAACCTTCCAAGCCCTTCATTTTCCTATCCACAGGAACATTTTTGCCATACCCAGAGCTCCCCCCTGAGTGACTGCCATGATCTGAAGTTAACTCCTTTGCTGCGTATGAACTGAATTGCTAATATCCCACTAGGAGTTGGTTCAATTGAAGAGCATATAGTGGATCAGGGAAATGAATAACACTGGGACTACATTTATAACTTAGCAGTGGGTGTGCTATAAAGTCCCCCTTGGGTCTAAACAGAATACAGGTCATTATACTTATCAGCCAGCAATCCTCATACTGCTTGTAGCTCTGGTTATCCTTGGTTCAACCCTGGCACATTGACCTTGGAGGTCTCCTGCACACATTTTGTTCAATGTTTCAGATCCAGGAGGACAGCAAAGTGGTTGAAAAAGGTGACAAACTCTCAAAGTTTAAACTGTTTGTCCTGTCCCTCAAGGATGCTTCATGCCCCTCTAGAGCCAAATCTCTGTACTTTCCTTTTCCCTTTTATGTTTCTCTGGTGGCATAAAGAGGGTGAAAATGACCCTAAAATAACCTTACATTAAGATTTTCCTTGGGTGGAATAAGGCTACAGAAATGTCTCTTTGCCAGACCCTCTTCACAGCACCCATGATAAAGA